TGTAAATGTTTGGCTTCTTCGACCTTGACCAGTTAGGTGTACAGCTCTGTAAATGGAAGAGGGAGCGTAGGGAGGGGGAGGGACTGAGTGATTTCGAAGCAGAAGCACTAAAACGATGGCTAAAAAAACGGTAAGTTCGGTGGATGGATGCATAATTGAGCTGGCAGCTGCATGCATGTAGAAATGAGGTGATCGATTATATGTTGAGGAACATGAAATGGAGGCAATAAATTGGCTTGAAAAATACGAACAGTGAGGCGTGGCGGCCTGTTTTTGGACCATTACTTCAGAAGGTACGGTTTGGCCTACCAATGGTCGCAAAAAACCACTTGACAATTTCACCCCCTTCGGTGGCCCTACTTGGACCGTCCAGTCTTGGTTTGACCTTTCTGCTCTTCACACATGATTGTCCTTCGCACTTGATTCTAATCAAAGATAATTTTTGGACTCCACTGCTTGTACGCCCCTTCTCAGCATAATTCTTGAACTAAATTTTGCCCACATTTTGCATTTTTACAGTGTATAGTGTTCTGAATTATTATGTATTATCCAGTGGCGGGTCGTCCAGAAAGCGCCATCGATGTTTCCGTGATGTTACCAGGGTCACAATGATAATGAAGTTACTGAGATATGGTCTGGATTATTCAGTTTCTTGGCGTGGGACCACTGATGTTGTCGGGACTCTTGGGCGGCCTGTTCTTTGAAAAATCCAGTCCTCCTTAGGCTATTTGCCTGATGTATATACGGAAGTATCATAGTTACTCTTCATATGTATTATTTTTCTTTTGGTATTTGTGCATTGAAACGATTTTTTCATTTCCCATAGAGAGTTTTACAAATTTATAATCGTCGCTTATGTATATTCTATCGGTCAGCGATACCGTCTTTTGTGGACTTTTTGTCTTCTAATGATTCTGTGGCGATATCACTGTTTCTGTTGTATGCTGTTTATTTCAATTGTGCTATGAGTCAGTTGACGGTATTTTTCGTCTTTTCAAAGAAATGTGCGAGAAGAGGGAAAATGAGGCAAGG